TAAATCAGGTTTTTTGGGAGCGCAAGGATCTTACGTGACTACTGAGAGACTACACAATATACATATTCGACATTGACTGTGGTCCATGACTTCGAGCAACTCACTATGAGTGAGAATGCCTGGCTCCAGTGCCTCCGACGCTTGACCCGTCTCCAGGTATATTTCTAATTTTACTGAATCTATGGTCAGTAATTTATCCAGGATCAATATGTTTGTACGTGCCAATAGATCACACGTGCACATATCTATTGTCATAAATATTGTGTTAACTTTCTAGATTAAATTGTGTCTGAATTTGTCTAAATATCTAACAATCCAAAAACCTGATCTTAGGCAATTTTTGGTATCTGTCTTTGCGAATACGCTCAAACCAAATGTCTTTGATGGCACGAATTACAAGAGGTGACATCATATATAGGTGCATCTTGTGGCTTACTTCTATGCATTGCTATTTTGTTGCCGAACAATGATAAGTTGGACTGCATACTCCTGAGATGGATTGCGTGCAAAAAGGTTGATAACATGTTCAAGGGTGCAATAATAAGTGTGATGGCCAACAACATCGTTGATACATACATGTGGTTGCCTACGAGCAAGGAGATGTGGATGCACTTGAGGCCAAATTCGGAGTTTCTGATGCTAGCATTGAGTTGTATGTCATTGAGCAATTTCATGGCTACAGAATGGGCTATTCTAAAGTGGAGCAGGCACATAGATACAAACACTAGGAAAAGAGCTTGTGAATTCTTGATGTGTACCACCAGATAGGTCTATGGCAGGTTACATTATTGCTTAGCTACCACAGGCTTAGTCAAATTATAGATGGCCAAATTGGTTGGGCCCATTGGGTAGCCTTGAAAAGCACGACACTAGCATGACCCGGCTCGACAACCATAGTACTAGTGCTGTCCTAGGCACTAGTGTAGAGTCATACCTAGGCAACATCCCGGCCCACAGTGCCGACATAGGCATATTAGGGTCCTATTGGCCCAAATGCCCAATCATTCTCTTTTGTTTATGAAGGAATGCATAAACATAAATCCCTCAACCCGAGCCCTAGCTCCCAATTGATCCTTCCTCATTGGTCGTCTCTTTCATCCGTGTCTCTCTCCCTCTTGATCTGTCCCTACTTTCGTTGGCTGTCTGATGACCCTCTTCGCTCGCCTCATGACTCTGCCCCTACTTTCGTCGATTGTTAGGTGACCCTTCCTTGCGCTGGTGCGCATCCTCACCCCTCGCCACCTCGTGTAGCACCTCCTCTGCTCATCATGCGGGCACACAGCCCCGCCTCACACATTACGGCGGTAATAACACGGGGTGTAGCAGTGTGGTGGCGAGGAACAAGGCACAATAGTGGTGTGGCTATAGAAAGAATGGTACAGGCACGCAACTACGATGATGGCTTGGGTGCGGCCTCATGCGTCGTGCCGGGCACTATTACAATAAAGGAACTTCAGAGGCAGTCAAAACATATTTACAGAGACAAGCAGGGAGACCGCCTGTGACAAAACACCAATGAAAAACAGAATTTGCAAAAGGCAGGTGGAATGCTCACCTCTGTAAATGGAATTCAAAAAATAAAAAATCTCGATGAGCCCATCGTGGAGGCCCACTGAGCCCGTGCGTGGAGGTCACCACAGAGATTGTCGTTGTTCTCGACCACGCCGTTGCCTGCCAATAACGAGCTCGCTCTCGCCTTCAGCACCTGACTCGCCTACCGTCGATCCTGCCCTCGCTTTTGGCACTTCATCCGCATGCTCCCACTAGATCCGGCTGCCGCTAACCTCCTCCACCCCCAAATCCGCTTCACCCTGAGGAGAGGGAGAGAAAGAGGAAGAGGGAGGCAGATATGATGTTGGACCTCATCGAAATTGTGGCGATTCGGTTCTTAAAGCATCTACTGTTGGGTTTTGAGAGCACATTTAGCCAAAGTTTCACAAGATCCTAAAGGAATTGAAAAAGAAAAATGCTCCCATTCCAAACAAAGTTCTGAATTGCTTAGGTGGCAAACTCCCTTGCAGGAATTTAACCATATATAGAATAGAAAGTTAGTTTATTCTATTGGCAAACATGCATACAATTCTAAAATAAAAAGGATCAAGTACCAAAAGTATGATTTTTCCTGTGTCCATATAATGCTAGCTAGAACATATAATATTTTGTTTATTTATACTAGAATTAACAATTTCTATGAAAAATTTGTCCTAGTTTTGTGTGTCGCCCAAATCCGAGACAATCCACAGTAAATGGCCCCAATTTTAGTGTTGACCAGGGTCCACCAAATGTGAGGACTGGCACTGATCAGCTAATAATGATTTGGGCCCCCTAAAGGTGACCTGGATATGGAAGGATACGTGTCACAACATCATTGTGACATAGCTAGCCGTAATCTTCTTTTAGTTTGTTTAGCTAAAAAATGATCCAAAAAAGCCAATATGTGATTCTCTGTGTGGTCTGAGAGACGAAATATGAGACTAGCTAGAGGACGTGCTTGCGAGTGCGGTCGAAAAGGAAACGATGGAGAGAATAACTTACATGTGCATGCATGTACACAGTACGTAGCCCACACGTGTAAAACAGAATTTTTAGCTAGTTGTGGTCCTGCATTAGCTCGCACATATACATACAGGAAAAATCATGGAAAAGGAAGCGTCCTCGGTGAAATGCTTCATGCATGACGAAATTCCCAGCTTTGGGTCAGAGAGAGAGGGTGGGGGGATTCCTGTCGCCAATTTTGTCGTACCTCGGGAAAAAAGGCAGCAGGAGGATAGAAAATTATATATAGAAGTATTTTTCTGTAGCTCGTTACATGATAATTTATTCTATAGCTACTTTAAGTTATTTGTAATTTAAGAGAATACTGTAACTCCCTCCCAAGTGATTTAGGTCCGTTTGGTATGACTCTACTTCACCGGTGACGTTGTTTTTTCTTCTTCTTGGCGCCAACGGTGGAGCTGGAGCCGAGCCATTTTAGTAAACCATTTGGCAAAACAATCACACATGTTGAGCTCTTAAAACATACACTCGTAGAACCCTATGCAAGGCCATCAGGACGAGGTGAAACCACTATTTTTAGCTTCACCCACTGTATATCCTTTGCAAGAGCACGATTTTAAAAGGTAGCTATGTTGGCCTGGCCGAGAGTCACGACGCGCGCGACGCATTGAGGCAAATGAAAGGCAGGCACAGCTTGGCAGCAGAAAGCAGACACGCACGGCAGAGACAATGGCAGGCAGGCATCTGGACTCTCACGCAGGTCCTCATGGAACTCGCAAGTGGAATTTGGCGTGTGCGATGCTTGCTGCCTCCGCCACCTTTGCTTGGCATTTCTGCTTTCCCATCGCTTCCGACCCCTGCTGCTCCGATCCATATATCCATCCATCGTTTGTGCCTTCTCTCTCCGGCCATGATCGTCAGATCTCTCCAGGATAAAATTTCGGATATATCGACGACGAAAACGATGCGAAAATGTTAGCTGCTGCTTCGATCATTTCCTTTGGTTTCGTCGCTTCCCAACAGCGCCCATTCCCCTGTCCCTTTCTTTCTTTCTTTCTTTCCCTTGGCCATTTTATTCTACCGCTAGCTACTATACTGGTGGCTGCATGCTTGTGTGTGCATGCTTAGTTGCTTACCCACCGGTCGTCGTCATCTTCATCTATACGGTTGCACAAACTTGTATTTGTGCAATGTACCTTACATACTTTCATCGACCGTACCACATCGAAATCTTATTCCTCCTTGGTGTGCCTGTCTGTTGTCGCCTCCCTCTAGCTAGTGGTGTCTGGGTCTCTCTCTTTGTTCCCTTAGGATTTGTTCGGTTCTCGACAAAATCGTTTCCTGGAAAGAATCCAGCTGGATTGGTTATGTAATTTATATAAGCTTCAGCAAACCGGAATGATTCCGAGGCTCAAACTAGGCCTACCGAACGAGCCCTCAGTGTATCATCAATCGATGTCGAGGCGATGGATTGTCTTAGACCCTCTTTGAAGTTTGAACCCATGAATTTTATCATAGAAATCAATTCATTTTGACAGGACAAATAAAACGTTGGAAAGATATGGAAAACAATTCCACATTCCGAAGTGGGCTTAAGATCGGTTGTCGTCCTGACCTTTCAAAGATGCTCTCTAGCTAGATGGTACGATGAGTGTGGTTAAATAGTAAATTGCTAAAGCGAGATTTAGAAAGTGCAGGACCACTCAATTAGTAATCTCATTTTGGTAACTAGTAGTATATCCCAGTGGCAGTAATAAGTATATGTAATTAAGCTTATCTACTCGTTGGACGAGCAGATAGCTAGATAGATGAGTAATATATATTACATACATGATGATAGTAGTAGTATGATATGATGTGCAACAAACGGCCATATATGTCATGGTGTTGTGGTGGCCTACCTACCCCGTCCGCTGCCTCTCCCTCTCCCTCTCGCTACCAGGGAGAATCGAATCAGCTGCAGGTATGACATTGGCATGGCATGCAGTGGCAGCCCCAGCGAGCTGATCTGATCTGAGGCTGAGGTAACCCCCCCAAAAAAAAAAAAAAACAGAGCAAACGCCAAAATAGAAATACGGGCTACCTGTCTGCTGGACTACAAATGGTATTAATAGTTGCCAACCCCAAACCGAATGACACAATAATACAAACATTATTCTATCCACCCATTTCTAGTAAAACTTAATCTCTTTTCCTCGTAGCTAGGGCGCTCATCAGCAGTGCATCGTTTGTATTAAACTCTTCTACAAAAAAACTTATTCTGTTTTGGAACAAGCTTTTTGCTTATCTTAAACGTCATGTATTTAAAAGCGGATCGGAGGAGTGAATATAATTAATGGAGTATAAACAGAGAACTCGCAGAAGACATGACACGACAAGATTGAAGCACATCCATCCATCCATCAATCAGCAACAAGAAAGGAGGGAAAGCCAAAGAGCTTTTTTATTAGGTACTACTACTCGCTTTAGTTTGTTGATTAACGATAATATAATAACTCTACTAGCTAGTATTTGGCTGAAAAAATCTATAAAGAGGAGCTTAATTAATTTCAAATCCAATTCCAGTTCCAATGGTGTTGTGCCTGCCGCTGCCGTAGCGTGTGGAGGACGGATCAGATGATCCCATGATGCATCCATCCTCCTCCAACAATCCTCATCGTCTTCATTCTACTAATAATCATATTAACTTGTTCGCTCCATGGATGGATCATCAGCCATGCCATGGTCCTTCATTCTTAACCTACTGCATACGCGTACTCCCAATACAAATTTATATATATAATATATATGTAATTCCTGTAGCTTCGCGCACTGTACACGTACGTACGGTGACGCCGCAGACGCCGATCGATCATGGAGGTGATGAGACCTGGAGGTGTCCGCCATGGGTGGTGAGCCAGTTGGAGAATGCCTCGAGCGTCCTCATGTCGGACCTGTAGTGCCTCATGGTGAAGTCCAGCAGCGTCCGCCACGTGAAGTCCGGGTACGCCCTCGGGTTGGCGTCGTCCACCAGCTCCGCGGGCGGGCGCACCACCTTGTCCATCTCCGGGCACAGGAAGAAGGCGAGCGACCGGCGGGGCACCCGGCTGTTGACGACGGCGCGGTGGAGGCAGCTCCTGTAGCGGCCGTTGGAGAGCGCCATGAAGGTGTCGCCGATGTTGACGACGAAGGCGCCCGGGTGGGGGCCTGATGGAGCGCCAGCTTTGGGTGGCGGCGTCGAACACCTGGAGCCCCCCCACGTCGTCCTGGTGGAGGATGGTGAGCGAGGTGGGGTCGCAATGCGGTCCGGTGCCCAGCGTGTCATAGGGCCGCTGGCACGCCGGGTAGTAGTTGAGGCGCATGATGGAGTCGCTCCCCTGGAAGAAGCGGCGGAAGTGTCGGCGGCCCACGCCCAGGCTCTCCCCGAGCACCTCCATCAGCTCCAGCGACAGCCGGCTCATCTCGGAGCAGTAGCGGCCGTACACCTCGCCGTGGTGGCGGTACTCCTCGCCGAGCTTGTCGACGAAGTAGGCGACTACGAGGTCCTGGTCCGACTCGCCGGCCGCCGAGTACCTGAACGACAGCGTCTCCTTCCATGGCAGCTTGGAGGCGAAGCGGCCCGTGAAGCTGCTGGCGTAGCCGCAGCTGTCCCCCTGTCGCCGCTGCGCGCGCTGCTTGTCGGACAGCGGGAGCGTGAAGAAGGCGTCCATGCAGCGGTGCGCCTCCTGCAGGAGCGCGTCGTCGATGCCGTGGTTGACCACCTGGAAGAAGCCGTGCAGGTCGCAGGCGCGGCGCACCTGGCGGACCACCTCGGCGGCGTCCCCGGAGAGGTCGATGAGCGGCACGGGCAGCTCCTCGGCGGCGTCCGGGGTGGGGCTCTCGTCCGCGGGCCACAGGAACTGCTGCGGGATGTCGGACAGGCCGCTCAGACGGGCCGCGTCGAACACCAGAGACGGCGGCGGCTGCGGCTGGAGCAGCAGCGGCTCACCATGCGCAGCCTGCTGCACCATGATGGCTAGGCTCTCTACCGATGTCGATGTCGATGTCGACGGCCTCTCTCTAGACTCTATAGCTAGCTACTCCTAGAAAGAAGCAGAGTATCTATCACTCACTTGGCACTCTGCCTGCAGCCAGGTACTCTGCTATGGGGGAGAAGCAGGGCAGGGGTAGCAAGCAGAGGAAGAAATGCTGAGTGGCTACTGAAAGGCCGGCGTGAAACATGTGAGCTCCTCTCGTGTGCTGCTCCTGCTGGCTGCCTGCCTTTTTATACGCGGGGAGGGAGCGAGGCGGGGAGGCCAGGAGGCCCGGACTCGTCAGGGGAGGTTTGCCACAGCGAGCCAGCCAGAGGAGCGGCGGAGGCCGAGCTGCCTGCCTGTGGCACCGTACGTGCCCACAGGCCACAGGACGATCCAGACAGAGACCGCCACTCTCTGGGCAGTGCCCATAGCAGCCAGCCCACAGGAGGGACGGTGGAGAAAGTGAAAGGGTAAGGTGCCATGCCATGCTTGTCTGCTGCTTCACCATCACCACTCTTGTTGTACGCCGCAAGCAAACAACAAACAAACCGCAGCCCATGTGACGAATAAACTTTATATGAAAACTACCGTCTCAAACTCAAAACACGATATCTATCTATCTATCTACAGGTTTCGAGCTCGTTTCCCTTTCGTGTTCACATGACTCACTGCCACATGATACAGTACGTACGTGACATGGTAAAACATGGATAGACGATCTCCAGTTCTCCACCGATCAGTGTCTGCTATATATTCTGGAGATTGTTAACCGAATTAGTGCTGCTCTAGGCTTACCTATAACTACTAAAACTGGTGGACTTGCAGCTGTACCCCACAATCAAGATCCAGGTTACCAACAGTGGTGAGATGAAGAGTTTGGATGGTGCATGCAACTAATCTTTTTGGGGCCTACCCGCCTCCACATGACAGTAGACCAGTCATCTTCGGTCACCTAAGGTAGCAACATGCTTTATCCAACTCTAACTTTTCTCACCTCTTGCAAATAGCCATCCAGAGTTTCTTTCCTTTCCTGGTTGCTTATGTACTCCTATATTATTGCAAATATATACTCCCTCCGTCCATCCTGAAATATAAAGAATCCAAGGTTTAAAATTTATATCAAAAATATATTTTAGGTTCTCAGTCCCCCCCCCCCCCCCAACCCCTCTCCTCGTTCTTTTAGGAATACTGAGCCTTTTAAACTTAGCGTCATCTGAAAAGCTATCTGTCTCGTTTTTCAGATTTTGTAAATAGGGACAAAAAATAGAAAAATAAATTTAAGCCCAGGAGAAGCCCACAAGCCACCCCATGGCCATTGCTTCCTTACCACTGTAACTCAAAGTTGCTTGTAACCAGGTGGGTAACTATCGGTGTTTCGCATCACTGGCTAGTATATTCCTAGTTTGCGTGTCTGGCCCAGATAGTGTGCTCGAAGGACACAAGGATTATACTGGTTCGAGCAGAACGTCCCTACGTCCAGTCTGCTGCTGCTCATGTTACCGGCACTGTCTGTAGTAGGGGTTATAGATGGGTGAGAGAGGGAGCAGATCCCAGGTCTCTGGTGGAAGGATTGAAAAGTGCTGCGAGCTTGTTTAGTTGCTCAGTCGTGTGCCCGTGCCTCCCTTCCCCTTGTGTTGCGTTGTGTTCCCTCTTTTATAGAAGAAGGGGAAGATGTAGGTTACATCAGGAAAAGAGAAGAGAGAGAGAAATAGGGAGAAAATCGAGGAGAAGAAGCCCTCTGGGACCGTCGCGTCCTTCTTCTCCTTTATACGGGTCCCTCCGATGCTGTAGATGGTGACGGGGATGGCTCCACGTCGGGCTCCTATTCACCACTGGTGCCATGCCTCGACGTCATCAGCTGGTCGTAGCGTTTCATCCCGTCCCGATGGACGGCGTGGTGAACTTCTGCTGTTAGAGGCTTGACCCAGGCCCACACTCTTGGACCCGTAGTGGTTGGGGTGGTACGGACCCCGCCGGGTGAGATGGAGCCCTCGCCCAAGGGGTCGGGCGAGACGGAGCCCATACCCTCGGGGTCGGGCAACATAGGGCCCGTGCCCGAGGGGTCTGGCGAGGCGGAAACCGTCGCTTCGGGGTCGGTCAAGACTGAAATACGTCCTTGATTATCTTGGCGAGTTGTCGTCCGCGGTCCTCAGATCCCTTCTTCGGGTATCCCTAATAATGATACCCAATAGTAGCCCCCGAGCCTACGGAGGAGTAAAATACTCCTTCGTAGGCTTTTTCGGATGGAGGGACTTCCAGGGCTTCGATCTTCTGCTGCCTGCGAGACGCCTTGGTGGGTTACGATCCCTTTCTGTTGCGACCGGACTTCTTTCGAGGGCGTGTAGCTGTGGGATTTCTTTAGGGATCGAAGAGGATTTTCCTTAATTCTGGCCCCTCTTAGGACCCGATTGATCCGCCTTTGTCATGCGACCGCGTATTCGGTCTCTTCGCGAGTCCAATTCCCCATGAGCCCCCGTGAGTTGCGGGGGTCAGATCGAGGGGTCGTCTCGTCTTGCAATCATTCTCCCTCAAGCGTTTCTTCGACAAAACGAAGGGGTTGAGCCGTGCCATGTTTTCCTCCGTGGATGAACCATGGTGCTCGGTTAGCTATTAACAGGCTGGTTCGAGTGGGGTCCGGCGCCCCATTCGTGGGGGTACGGCATGGGTCAGCTGGTGACCGACTCTAGATTCCTGACGGCCGGTCCATATAGTTCTTGGATCCGTCGTCCGGTCCCATGGGCTCGTTGCCTTTCTTCAAGGAAAAACCATGGACAGCACGCTGGCCAGGACTCGAACGTGGACTAGGATGCCCGTAGCGTTCGTGCGCTTGGGTATTGGTCACTAGCGGGCCCATCCTTTTCCACCCCTCGCTCTAAAGGTGCCCTAAAGCAATTGTGAACCCATCGGTGGGCCAACCTTCAAACTCGTGGGCCGTAATGGGCTATGTGAGGGTTTTTAGCCCCGTATCCCTTCCATACCTGCGATAGTTCTTGGCCCATCTATCGGGCGAACCGTCAACTGGTGCGTCCTTTGAGGGAGCGGCCATAGGTAGTGTGCTCACGATATTCGAGGTGGGTGATGTGACGTGGCACAGCGGGCGCGTAAATCTAGGCAGACGGTTCACCTCTCACCTCACCCCGCCTTATAAATAGCGGCCTCCCCCTTCATGTTTCAACACGCAAAACTACAATCTTGCTTTCTCCGCCTTTCCGCCGTCGTCGTTCGGATCTGCTGCCTTTGCTAATCCGTCGCCAGCGCCCTAGATCCGTAGCCTTCACTTCTCCGCTGCCGCGAAAAAGTCCTTGCTCCTCCATCTTCGGTTTCCATGGAGTCGTGGTACCGCTCTGACGTCACCTACGCACGCATGGAGGGCCTCGTCAGGCGCGGTCTTCTTCGTGGGAGGACCGACACGATGGAGTGGCTAGTTCCCAGCCACAAGGAGGTGCCAACGCCGCTCGACGATTACATCATCTCCTTCACGCCCTTCCACGAGCGCAGGAAGAAGGATAGAGGCAGGGAGATCCTGGTGCCGATGGGATGCATGGGAATCCACCTCCGGGGGCAGCGGGTTGCTGAGTACATGCCCTGCCAGCTATCCAGATCCAACAAGGGGTGGCACGCGCAGTGGTTCTACTTGAAGAACAACCCCACCGCCCCCTTGCTGGACTTCACTGGGCGCTTGATCGAAGAGGCGCCGCCGACGTGGCTATGGGGGCCACCCGACAAGGAAAAGATGAGGATGCGCGACATCCTCGAGGCCATCGCATCCCTGAAGAGCTGTGGCCTTTGCAGGGCCAGCGTCATTGGAGCATACCACGCGAGGAGGGTGGCGCCGCTGATGGCGCACGCCCTTCCATTGTTCGAGATGATGCCGGTTGTGGAACTCAGCGGGACAGTGCTTGCCTAGGGGCCGCTTCGCAACAGTGAGATTGCGCAGCGCATCAAGGAGGCGACGGATGAGTTTGACTCCATGTTCCTAATCTCAGGACATCCCGTGATGCTACCGGAGCCAGGCTTTATCGAGCTGCCGGTGGATTTGGGCTTTTGGACCTCTGTCACGCCGCTGCTGGAGCACGCGGCCATGAGGGCGGCGAACCGTGTCGTAGATGAGCGGAGGAAGAAGGATAAGGACGACAAGGAGAAGAAATGGCGGGCGAAGCTGCAGCGAGGGAAGCGACGCCAAGGCTCGTCGGAGGAGGGAGAGGAGGAGGAAGAAGAGGAAGAGGTGGAGGATGACACCTCTAGGTCGCCCATACCGTGGGACAATCTAGCCGGCAGGGATGAGGACCCGCCTTTGCCGCAGGCCGGACCCTTCGCGTGGCATCTCTTGGAGCAAGAGGGGGAGGACACACCCCCGAAGACGGCGGGAGCGAGTCGCCCCACTCTGTCTGGGCCTTCTACGATTCCCCCAGAGCCGAGGGGAGCTAGCGGCTCCACCTCGTCCGAGCCTCCCGAGCAAAGGGAGGGCTCGAAGCGGCAGCGCGATGAGGAGTCACAGCCAGGGTCGGGGTCGGCTGAGAATTCTTCATCCTTTTGTTTCTAATGAATTTTTTGCCGTGATCTAACAGCAGCGCCATCCACAGCGTTGGAGGATGCGGGACCCTCCTAAAGCTAGAGCCGAAAAAGACTCTCGCCCTTCGGCGAGCGCGCCAGGACCCGTCTGGTGCCACGCCGGAGGTCGGCAGGAGCGTCGTTGGGGCGACTGTAGGGTCCACCGGAGAGGTGCAGTTGACGACCACGTCTACGGTAGGGCAGGCGATGGAGTGCGCATCTGGGGGGCCCATGGTGGGCACGGCGTGGCCAGGTGCGGCCGCGACATCACAAGTGGTGACGGTGCGGCTGGAGCTACCATCTACGTAGGTGGGCGCATCTGCGGCGGGGCAGTAGGGGGAGGCTACACCCAAGGCGTCCTCGGTGGATGTGGCGCGGTCGGGCATAGCCACGACGTTGTTGTTGGAGACGGCGTAGCTGGGGCCATCATCCGTGCAGACGGC